GATTAATAAGCCCCCTGTTAATGGCACTTAGCTTGTTCTCCACCTACTAGTCCAGTGCTGCGACAGCGAGTAACCTTGTATAGGACTTGGTCACCGGGTGTGGAAGTACAGCTGTCAGGTACAGCCAACAAGTGGGATTTCTGGCTCAAAGGCTGTGTACGCTTGTAATGTAAATAGCCAAATTACCCTTTACAGAGATTATACCAGTTTACCTTCCTCCTCGGGATGAGTGAGGATCTGTTTCCCCACATGTTCAACAACAGTGTGTCAGTATTTGTTTTAATCCGATTGTGAGAAAGAGATCTGTTTTAATTTGTAGTTTTTTTTTTTTTCTCTCTCAGTTTTTGCCAGAGGGCACATGCAGTCACTGGAGAGAGAGAGTGAGAAAGCACCCCCCATGGGGGATAGTCACACTACAATCTGGTCTCCTTGGGATTTGGGGATGCACGCACACACATCTAGCATGTTTTTCAAGCCACTGGGACCAGGATTCAAATCACACAGTTGGCCATGTGAGATCCAGCCACCGTAACCTCCTCACCACCTGCTGGTGTTGTCTATGTATTTTTTACTTTATAATCTTTGACCTTGTCTTGTATAGATTGTGAAGTAAGGATCTATTTTAGCTCACTTTCCTGTTACTGACAGCTGAATACCACACTGGATAATTCATGAAGAATCGAAGTTTACTTAGCTCATCGTTTTAGAGGTCCCGGGTCTGGGTCTGCAGCTAGTGAGGGTCTTCTTATTGATGGCAATTCTGCAGAGTCCTATGGTGGCACCAGCCATCACACATGACAAGAGCTTGCATGTGTCCGTGTGTGCATGTGTGTATCGCTATCGTTCCTCTCCTTGTAAACCTGTAGAATCAGTCGTGGGGGTCTCACCCTGATGGCTTTAATCCTGGTCACCTCCTTACACCTTATTTTGCTGTTGGGTTGTTGGGAAAGTCATGACACATTTTTGCATATAAAAACATAGAAAAATAGTCATGACTTTCCCAGCGACCTAATACACTATCATTAGATTAAGCTTTCACCCTATTAATCCCATCACAACCAAATTTCAACACATGAATTTAAGGAGAACACATTCAAACCATTGCAGGACCCAACTTAATTTTTCCATATGGCTCCTGAAATATCCTAATACTGTTTTTAAAGAATTCATCTTTCCCTTTAATTTGAAGTGATGATGTCTCTATTGCTATTAAAGTTCCATATGTGTTTACCTCTATTTATGGGCTCTGTTCTCTCTCATTGGTTGTCTATTCATGCATCATTACCACCTTATTTTAATTATCGTAGCATTACTATAATTCTTTGTTTCCTAATGAATATCCCTTTTATTCTTCAGTTCTTTTGGGTTTTTCCCAATATTTTTAAATAATTATTTTAAAATTTTATCTGTCACTGTTATTTTATTTGACCAGAGAGAGACAGAGAGGGGAAGTGAGAAAGCAAGCTGCCAGATCCAGGGCTTGAACCTCAGTCGGGCCTGTGGGAGTCCAGTGCCTTAACCACCACACTGTCTGCCAACCCCTGTAGCATTACTATAATGCTTTATGGTTTTCTTCAGCTAATTCTCTGTCCTCTTTGCCAAAGTGCCTGCACACAGCTTCTTTGCTTTTTTCAAGTACCATCTTTTTTATTCTCAGTAGAGAACCATCCTATCAACTCACTAAAGATGGTGAGAGCATTCCGTACGAGCTTGGTGTGCGCGCACACACACACACACCCCACCCCCACACTCACTGCTATGATACGTGCTTGTATTTTTTCATCCTGTGCCCTTGAGCTGTTCTCCCATCAGCCATCCTGCCCTGGCTTCCCCTTCTTTCCCTTTTGACCTCTCCTCTATCCACAGTTCACTTGAATATCTCCTCTATCTCCTCTATTGGTTCTTCTACTTTTTCAAGCTAGCATCCTCTTGTACGTGTCTTTCTCCGCCATATTTGTCCCTAAACTAGTCTCCATTTGCTTTCTCAATTTCCCTGTCAACACTTACTCTTCAGAGCTCAGGCTTTCCTCTCACGGGGTCATCGTTGGCCTCGCACATGTCAAACCTGGCTCCTGTGTCAGTTTGTCCCCCTGAGCCTCTGCAGCACTGGAGTGGTTGACCCCGCCCTTTGAAGCAGCCCTCCCCTTAGCGCTAAGATGCCTGGTTGTCCTGGGCCTCTCCAGCCTCGGGCCCTTTGTTATCCGGTCTGGTGATTCTCTCCCCCTTTTCCTCTCCTGACATACCGCCCTCTCTGGTAAACTGCATCCCTTCTTGTAGCTCTCCCATCAACATGGATGTTCCCTAAATCTGCAGATTCCCAGGCTCTCTACCTCGTAGACACTGAATTGCCAGACAGCTCTAGGAAACCAACTGAAAGTCGTCGTGTAAGTCCCAGTAAGGGAAGAGCTGAGGGTGGAGTTAGGTGTGTTAATGCGCGAAGGTGGTACAGTACTTCCATAACCAGATCCATGTGGAAGAAGTCCCGGGTTCGTGTCCTGAGGCCTCCCTGTGTGGGCTGGGCATGCACATCACCATGGTGTGGTCCATGGCGTGAGGGTCTTATTGGAGATGTCTCTCTCAAGAAAGAAAGAAACACACTTTAAAAAATGGAGCCAGGGGACCAGCAGGTGGTGTGGTGGTTAAAGAGCTGGACACTCCCACATGGCTGACCAGGGTTCGAGTCCTGAATCTGGTGACTTGCTTTCTCACTTCCCCTCACTTTCACTCTCATCCTCCGTCTCTCTCTGGTCAAATTAAAAATAAATAAATAAATAAAAAATAAATAAATAAATAAATAAAATAATTACAAAAAAAATGGAGCCGAGTGCTGGCGCGTTGGTAACGTGCAGTGGTCTGTGAGGCAGGCCTGCACAGGAAGTTCCTGATTCTAGTCCAGAGACCTCTCTGAGTACACGGGCCACTGCCTGCCTTATCCAGGGTTGGCTGACATGGGGGTGGGTCACAGATAGCATCGGGACCCAACTGAGGGTGCCGCGTATGTGTGTGTTACACTCATGGACTAAATAAGTAAGTAAAGAAAAGAGGGATAGCAGATGGCATACTGGCTATGTCTCTGGACTCCCATGTAGTTGACTGTGGTTTGAGTCCTGGGCCTGGTGGCTTAAGTTCACACCAGGCGCGTGTGCGTGCGTGCCTGCGATCCCAAGAGAATGGAGGAGAAGGGATTGTGGCATGACCATCCCCACTGGGGGGTGATTTCTCGCTTTCTGTCTCTCTGTCTCTCTCTTTCTGGCAAGCACACGTGCCCTAAAGCAAAACCTCTCAAAGAAAAAAAGAAAAGGAACAGCAGTGCCAGCAGGTGGTTAAGGCATTGGATCCCACATGACCAACTCCAAGGTTCACGTCCCAGACTGGGCAGCTTGAAAAACAAAATAGGTACACATGCGTGTCTAAAACCCTGAGGGAAAAATGGTGATAGAGGGATTATGACATGGCCATCTCCCCTGGGGTGGGGGGAGATTTCTCACCTTCCTTCTCTCTGTCTCTCCAGTAAGCACATGTGCCCTATAGCAAAAATCTTTCATTTTGTACGGTTTTTGCCACACGATGTGTGCCCTCACCAGAGAGACCGACACAGAGAGAAAGTGAGAAGTCACCTCCCACGGGGGTGGTCACGCTGTAGTCCCTTCCCTCTCTCCTCTCAGGATCTTGGGCACGTACACACACAAGCCCACAAGCCCGGCATGAGTTTTAAGCCACTGGGTCTGGGACTTGAACTGCTGTCAGCCATGTGGGAGTCCAGCACTGTACCCACTATGCCATCTGCTGGCCCCCACAAAAATCTTTTAAAAAAATAGAAAAGAAAAGGCGGTGTTGAGAAGACATGATTTACTGCTAGTTGGAAGTTGCTTTTCAATGGAGCCGTTGCTCTTGATCATCTGGGTAATTAAAAATAAAAATTCCAGGGCCCAAGTGCTCCCCAACCGATCACAGGAACATCTCTGGGGATGGGCAGACATCTTTAAAAAACCTCCCAGCCACCTCAGTGTACAGTGAGCTGACAGGTGTGGAGCAGGGCGAGGCGGAGGGAGGGGCCTGAGGGGCCTGAGGTATCCTCGTCAGAGGGGGGCCGGGAGGAGGAAGGGGGGGTCTTGTTGGGTAGGTTGGGTTTGAGCTGCTTGTGGGGTACCAAGAGGGGGCCCACGGAAGTGTAGATGTCTTA